GTATTGTGACATCATAGCAGTGTCAGTTATATTAATTTCATATTTTGTTTATTGAAGTCAAATGTTACAGCAAAATCATCATCATTGGATACCCATTCATTTTTATAATTAAATGAGAAGAAGGTATAAATTGATGAAAACTTCTTGTCCCAGGAATAATGGTTACTATTAAAAGTTTATCAGTAAGTTTGATTCTCACTAGCTCCATTTCTTCAGCAGGGATATACACAAACGTAATCCCACTGATTGACTTTTGACAGTATTCAAACATTGCTTGAGAAGACAGTATTTGACCTGTAATTGGACTCTGCAAGCTAACAGTTGCAACAAGCCTTTTAAGAGTGCTACCTATTCCATCACATGGAGATTTACCATGACTTGTTGCAAAGAAATTCCAGATGCACCGAACAGAAAAATCTTGAGCATGGTGACATAAATTGTAAAAATTTTTGCAATTTTTATACTTCCCTACACAGCCAGCAGAAAAATAATGAATTTTTGTAATTGCAGGACAAAGTTGAGTTGTTATATGTTACATGAAATTACACAAAAAGAAGATATTTCCAATTTCACTTTCTTGTAGTAGATGACAACCGGATGAAGAGAACATTGACTCTTTCTCCAATGGTAACTCTGTATCTCGTCTTGTACTGCAAAAGTGTAATTCTCTGCAAAATCTGCTAGTACAATAGCCTCATCAATACTAATTGTTTCTTTGAGTTGCTTTAGATAGCTAGATTGTGATTTTGCTATAAATGAATGAGAAGTAATTTTATTAAGTTTTTTCCCACAGAAGCTTTATGAATTTATTTAAGGGAAGTTTTATTGTTAATAGTTCCGTCCTATCTGTCGTTGTCCACTGTTTGAAATCCACTGACTGTTCATTTTTGTTACTGTCATATTGCTCTTTTGGATCATCATTTTGTGTGTGATACTGCTGGAAATAACTTTAGGCAGCTTGTATGCCAGGACAATTATTGCATCGGTGAATCATGCAAGCTTAAAATTTTCTGCTGCAGACAATATTTTCAATTATTTCATGGTAAGATGTTTTAAGGCCTACAGCCCTCAACATTAATTTAACATTTTGGTGTATTGTACACACACAAATAGAATGTGTACCTTTTGGACCAACAAAGATGCACCATTTAGGCCGAAGACTGCAAAATTTAGAAAATCCAATTTTATGGTCTGGGTATTTAATCTTATATGCCACACAACTCCTTTAAGTTACACAAAATCAATTTTTTTGACATGTATTTTTTTTTCCCAACAATTACAGTCTTTTTTACCTGGCATTTGCCTTGAATACTCATCGTCACAGTAAAAAAGCTTTACAAGTTCTATAACATCTTTACTGATTTGATGCCGTTCAACCACATTTGGGCATGCTATGATGCCTTTTTGGTCACATAAAAGCTTTGCATTTTGAATTTTGTGTTTAAAAACTAAAAACTCTTTTGCTGCTTTTCTGATAGACCAAGATTTTGGGGTCAATGTCAATATTTGAAGTTGCTACCTTCTGTTAGAGACTTTAAGTTTTTCTTTCATGCATTCAACAAGGAAGCCTAAATTGCCAGTTTTTATTTGAATTTCCTTTAGAACTTTATTGTTGTTTGGTGCAACAAGATCAGACTCGGTAACATCCAGAGCAGTTGCAAGTTTCTTAATAACTGCTTCTTCAACTTGCTTTATCTTTCTCTTTCCAAGTGAAGGCTTGTTAGAGGTTTTATGTGAATGAACTTTTAGCGGAGGCACTTCAAGTTCACACAAAGTACTTTTGAGCAATGATCTTGTTGATTCCAGTGTAATTTTATCTCACCTGGCACTACGAATTTGCCTTTACAGCATAAATACTTTGCTGTATCCAAGTTGATTTCACGAAGACTGTCTAAAAAAAGGGAAGAACTCTTTTAATATGTATAAAAATTTGAATAAATCCATTTAAAGTTTAAATTGCACTTTCATAAGTCAGCTAAAAGTTAGGTTAAATATAGCTAAAATAGAATTTTGTTGCAAAGAATTTTATTATTGTAACTCACAACATTTTCACAAAAGTACAAGTTGTGATTACTATAAATAACTTTTATAACTTTGTTATGACTATTGAATGGATTGCAGCTCCATGTTAGTTTAGGTGCATAACGCTTCAAATAATCATGCTTATGATGGAGACAAGTTGTTGGTTTGACATTGATTATTGATAACCCAGTCCTCCACATTAATATACTCTTTTGTATTCAGGAATATCTTCAAAAGATTTGATTCCAAGCAACGATGTATATGTTGCAAGATAACATTCACTTTCTAGCTTGATTCCAATGGAGCACTGTTTGCTGTTTGCCATGACTAAGAAACTGAATTACCAAACAAGGTTCAATAATTATTTAATCTAAAATAAAATAATTTTAAGCTTAAACAACTGGTGTGTTTAAAACTATATTGATACGACATAACTGATGTCACAAATCTATATTTGTACATCAAAGCAGGCATTGCAAAACTATATTTTTACATAACAATTCTCTTCAAAAAACTTCATTTATATATCAAAACCATATATCTCAATAAACTGTTTTTACACATCACAACTTAAACCATGAGAGTCAGGCAACTTGTGAAAACCTTACCTTGTTTTAGGGTTAAGTGATTTTTTACCATTATAAAATAAAAAAAAAACAGTTATCAAACATTTTGAAATAGGTTATTTTCTTTTCTACTTTGGATTCAGCATCTTCATAAATATTTAGGGATCGTCAATAAAGTACGTACGCTCAGAGGGGAAGAGGGAGTCTGCAAATGGCGTATATGAAATGGGAGGACAGTGGATCAATTATAAAAGAAAGAAGACACTAAATTTAAAAAAATTTCATAAAATATTAGATAAATAGTTTAAAAGCGTATGTACTTTTAGGGAGAAGGAGGGTACTTTTTTTTTGTTTTTATTATCTTCGTTTCCAACAAGGCTGCAAGCAACCACTTATTAGTGTTGGAAGTTACTGGAAGAGAAAAGATGAAGATTATAGAGCAGGATAACAATTGACAGACGACTTAAAAGATTGCAAATTATATGAATCAGGAAAGCAAGATGAAGGAAGCGAATTCCAAAGAACTGATGTTCGAGGAAAAAAACTAGACGAATAAGAGTTTTTGGAGCACTTAGGAACAGTTACAGAAAAAGGATGAGACTTAATTGAATGACGAGTAACACGAGAATGAATTTTAATAGATGGCACAAGAGACAATAGCTCTTTAGAGCAGTGCCCATTATAGTATTTGTAGAAAAGAGAAAGAGAAGCAACATTACGACGATGTGACAGAGGTTGAAGGTTGTCTGCAAGAGCAGGTCCAACTATGTTTACAATGCGTTTTTGCACCTTGTCTAAAAGAGAAAGGGCATCATTAGAAGATCCGCTCCAGATATGACAACAGTATTCCATACAAGGCCGGATTTGAGATTTATAGAGATAGAGAATAGAATCCAGAGTAAGAAAGTGATTAGATGTGAGAATATCTGGAAGATCGTTAATGTAAATTAAAAAGAGTATAGGGCCAAGGATTGAACCTTGAGGAACCCCTGAGGTTACAGAATAAGAAGAAGAGTGCTGTCCATCAAGGACAATTTTTATACTAAGATTGGAAAGGAAGGATTCAATAATCTTAAAGATGTTTCCAGATACACCGTAAGAAGAAAGCTTATTGAAAAGACCAGCATGCCAAACTTTATCAAACGCTTTAGAAATGTCAAGAGCGATGGCCTTAAAAAAAGCATAATGCAAAATGGGGGCAGGAGGGGTTGACAAAAAAAAAAGCATATGTACTTTATGGACAACCCCTTAGGTACCAATTTTCAGTCAGTTACTTCCACTAAAACTTAAATTATTTACACATAAACAATTGCTAAAAAATTTGAAAAAAAATTTGAGTCCAAGTAAAGAATTTTTTGTCTAAATTTCAAAAGGACATATCTTTATAATGCTTTAAGAAACCAAAGCCATCTTTTTTATAATAATAGCCTAGGATCACCTACTTCATTTGAAGAAAAATTTGAATCCATGAAACTTGGGCAACTCCGGGAGTTAATAAAAGCGCAACCCATGGTATCAGAACAAAAAATTTGACTGACCACTTTAAAATCAAATCACAACCATGCAAAAATTTAAATTTCACTATTTTCTCTACATTTTTGAATTCAACACCCTCAAAAAGACCAGGTACTAATTTTTATCCTCACTCTTGTACTAGATCTGAAATTATTCATTAAAAAGTTCTACTACAAAGTCCATAATGGTGGATGTGGAAAAAAATAGGGCGTTTTAGGCTAAATTTCAAAATGTCATAACTTTTGAACCAATTGGATTTAAGATCTCAAACTTTTTTTCATGTTACATTGATAGGTACCACTGGGTAAAATTTGAAAGAAATCTGAGAGTGTGACTGAAAATTTTCAATTTTTTATCCTAGTTTTACATGGAATTATTTTAGTGTTAAAACATTAAATTATAGTTCATGACAAATTTAAGTCCATAAAGTTCATTATAATTTTATCAATTAAGCTGTATACATATCTTATTCAGCGTACTTTGATGATCATGAAACCTCACTGTTATTACTCCTATTTTAGTTTGTTTAAAATCATATCAAATAAAGATAGGATTTATTACATAAATCAGGTTAGGGTTAGGGCTTGATTAAAGCTTGTTTTATAAAACGTTATTGATCATGAGCAAAATGAAATATAGATATACAGCCCTCGGAATATTTGCATATTTTGCCAACCTTAAACTATTTTTAGTCAGCATTATGTCAAGACAAAGTTTTGCCATAACAAAAACAGCAAAAAATTGCTAACCTCAGACACTTAGGTCAGCATTTAGGTTGGTTAAACCCTCTTTCAAAGGGCTGCATGTAATATAAATATAAAAGAAATATAATGTAAGCAAATCAGATTAGTCTTTACCTTTATTTGATTTTAAACTAGTTTTTATTACAAATTATAGGTTTTGTTGTCATATTTCCAAACCAGAAGAATTTATGCCTTATATTATACCTGTAATGCAGCAAAGAATAATTTCTGATAATAATCATGAATCTACAGAAGAAATTAGACTGTTATTGATTGAGAGCTTATCAAAGTTAATAGATATATGCTGTGAAAAGATTGGAATTTATATTGATGGAATTATCCTCATGTTAATTAAAACTCTTGAAGATCCATACAGTGAAGTCAGAAAAGTAGAACATTTATAATGAGTAACAAGTCTTATTTAATCGTGTTAAATTATTTTTTTTCAGTTTTCAGTTGTGTAATTAAATGTTTTAATGCTATTTAACTGTGTACTACACAGTATTCTATTTTTATGCTAATAAACTGTATAACACAGTATCATGTTTCAAAAGCGAAGCTTAAGTATAATGAATTTTTGAATATGGAATTTATTGTTTTTTTATTTTTAGGCAAGTTGTTCTTGTGTTTGTAAGTTAGCTGCAATGTGCTCTGAGCAATTTTATCTGCAGGGAGAATCTTTAATTCCCCCATTGTTAAGATCTCTTTCACACCAGCATAATAAAGTTAGAAGTGCTGTTTTGCAGGTATTGTAATGTGTTTGTGTTTTTTATTTGAGTTTTTAATTTATAATAATAACAATAATAATAATAAACTTAATAGCCACAAGATTGTATAAAATTTAAAATTAAAATTTTTAAATAAAGTCAAAATAATTTTGTTAATGGATATTTTTCAATTTGTACACATTTTATTTCCTTTTTTTTTAACAAACTAAATAAAATATGCTTATTTCAAATTTTTCTTTATAAAAAATAAATAACAAATGTTTTTTTAGGTAACTACGCTTGTTGACTTATATATTATTTTCATTACGACTTTTTAAAAATTTGATTTTTGTTGAAAATAGATTTCTTTTATATAAGTTATTAAAGTTTAAAATTTTTGTTCAATTAAGTTAAATAAACCACATCAATACTCATAAACAAGAAGTTCTGAAAAAAAATGTAATAATAACTGTTTTAACTAACAAGAATATGTTTTGAAATAAAGAAAAATCAAAGAAATTTTATTAAAAGAAAGTTTTGTTAAAACTTTTTTGAAAGTGATTAAAAAAACAAAATCCAAATTTATTTTTGATTTTTAATTATATTTGTTTTCATTTTTATTGAAGTTTTAAATAAACATTTGCTGTGCAGTGATCAAATGTTTTAAAACAAATACAATTAACTTTGATTTGCAATTAAGTTGTAATACAATTAAGTTGAATTGTAAAAGTATAGATATAGTAAATTAGTAATATATAAATAAAAAAAAGCACCCATAATAAGTAGTTATACAATAAGTATTAAATTATTTTGTATATTATTTACATATAATTTTAATAGAGCTAAAACAATAATTAATGCATTTGTCTTCTTTTATTAAAAAAAACATTCCCAAAATCATTCCATATCTGTTGCTATTCTGCCTAAATTTTTTCATTACAATTTACTTATATATTCACATCATGCAATGAAAACTGACGTTATCTAAGACTTTCTTGGTGTAGTTAAGACGATTTTAAAATATACCATCTGTATGATATTTTGCTGACTAAATCCAAAAATTAAAATAAAAAAATCTTAAAAATCACAATTGCTTATCTAAATTTGAATAAGATTTTAAATAAGTATGCTATTTAGGTAAAATGAATATCATAGTTTAATAATATGATCTGTTCTGATTGTTTATTGGCAATTTTTCCTAAATTATATGCTCTTCTTGGTCGGAATACTAATATTTTTGTGAAAATTGATAGAAATGTTGTTTTGACAATTATATTCAATTAATATGTTCTAGAAAAGATTAGAGCTAGGATCTTTAGTAGATTAAGGCACCTTTTTAAAAAATTTTAATTAAAATAAAGTTAATGCTGTTGAGCAGAATTGATCTAAAGACTCAAAAATGGTGTCCTTTAGATTCACAATTAGGGGTAATAAAAAAGTTTTGAAAATTATTTAAAAAATAGAAAAGTTTCTTTAAATATTAGAAAAATTTGAAGAAAAAAAAAATTATAGCATCTCAAGCTCTTGTTTGGGCATAATACGCTGAATAATTCATCCTAATTCCAAATGAAAGAATTTAAATAATTTATAAATTGCATCAACTACACCGAAGTTTTTATAGCTCTTCAAAATCAAATCAAAAAACTTTATGATTTTCCCTATCTGTATATATTAATATATATAAATATATATACATATATATATATATATATATATATATATATATATATATATATATATATATATATATATATATATATATATATATATATATATATATATATATATATATGTATATGCATATATATATGTATATGCATATATATATATATATATTTTTACATATATAAAATATTTACAGATGTAAACATCGTTTATTTGAATATATATATATATATATATATATATATATATATATATATATATATATATATCCTTATAGTGTAGTCGAAAGAGTCGTTTAATGTAAAAAAAGTCTCTTTCGACTACAATTTTAATTACCTCATCTCTTAAGCTGTTTTTGATTGTCATCGAAATGTCAAAGCAATTAATTTATGCGGAAGTACATTAAATTAATTTGTTTTTTAAAAAATTTTTAAAAAACCGCAATTATAACGACTAGAAAGTTTTTTTTAATTAGTGGTGTTTTTGTTATTGATTTAATAAAAAACATTTTTAAAACATGCGTAAATGTTGCTACATCAACTATCTTATAGCCTGACTCGCAACGGAGTGCTGCTACATCGACTGACAAATAGCCTGACTCGCAACGGAGTGCTGCTACATCGACTGACAAATAGCCTGAACTGCAACGGAGTGCTGCTACATCGACTGACAAATAGCCTGACTCGCAAGGGAATGCTGCTACATCGACTGACAAATAGTCTGACTCGCAAGGGAGTACTGCTACAACGACTGACAAATAGCCTGACTCGCAAGAGAGTGCTGCTACATCGACTGAGGGTTTGGTTTGGCCAGGCAGTCTATCAATTAAAAAAAAAATTTAATTTTTAAAACTTTTTCTGGTCTGGTTTATTATCGCGCTCTTTAAAACTACAGTTTATGGGAAACTTTTTTTGATGCCATGCAAGAGACATGCAAGAGTATATATATATATATATATATATATATATATATATATATATATATATATATATATATATATATATATATATATATATATATATATATATATATATATATATATATATATATATATATATATATATATGTGTGTATATATATATATATATATATGTGTGTGTATATATATATATATATATATATATATATATATATATATATATATATATATATGTGTATATATATATATATATATATATATATATATATATATATATATATATATATATATTACATATAAAATATATATTTTGCATAATAAAAATGATATTTACAGATCTAAATATTATTTATATAAAAATTTTAGACAATTGGTGTTACGATTCTATCAACAAGTGGAAAGTCAGTAGATGATGTATTTACTCACATTGCACAACGAACCTTTGATAGTTCTTCACCAGTGAGATTAATGGTTGTTGAAGTAGTTGGAAAATGGCTTGTTGAACTTAGAGATAGGTATTATAATAAAGCTTAAAAACAACATGTTTATCGATTAAACAATGAAAGTAGTTTTGTTGCGTTATTTTTATAATAATATAGAAGTTAATTAAATGGATAAAATGTGTTACACAGAGCCAGATAAAATGGGAGTTTTTGTTCCCTTTAATTAAAACACGTGAAATTTTCATTGCCGTTTTTATGGTTAACTTGATATTCTTGATATATTGCTTGAATTTCTGTATTGCTTTTTTTTTAATTAATTTTTTTTAGTAACATTTGACTCTTGTGCATTTAAAAACTAGTATTAATGTATTCTGAGATAACATCAATAAGTTCAACTTGACCAATGAGATGTATATAGATGTTGTATATAGATCAGGAGGTAACCAGGAGGATGACAAAGTTTCAAATAATAATCATTAAAAAAAACTGAGCAATTTCTTATGGGGCATACAGCTATTTACAGTTAAAAGCGATGAACAGCGATAAAAGTGCATCCAATAAAACTATTTTCAAATCATAATATTAAGGTTGTAGATTTTTAATATTAGACAAATGTTTTCCAGATTAAACCATTATCTCTCAAATTTTCCATTACCATGGAGTGATATGGAGTTAATAACATGTTGTATCTTTTTCAGTAAAACATAGTTTCATTCTTAAATGTTTTATTTGATGATCCTCATCATAGGTAAATTTATAATGTTTAGACCACGATTTTAATGCTTTATTTATAAGTTCTTTAGAGATGTTTATCTGTATAAGTCATCTATATAAGTAATATTTTTTTCTTTTCATCTCTTTAACTAATTTAACATAATCCTATATAAAATAGTCCATAGGTACATTATCGAGTGAGTTTTGTCTGCAAATTTCAATACGAATAAATTTGATTCTTTGGTCAATTTAGTGGTCATTTTTTAAGAGTGACTAGGTGTGGAGTCGATAGAAATAAATTTTTTCTTTTATTAAAAATAATTCGTTGCACACCTCAGTCACATAGGTCAGTAGGCAGATTAGAGGTGCACTGGTTTCTAGTAACACATTCAGCCATTGATAATTGAAAAATAGGGTTAAAATTTAAAAATGCTGGCATTTTTGGTGTGAATTTGACAAGTTTATAATATTTATATTTTCAGATAGTTGGGTCTAATGGTCTTATATGCTGTTAATCTTAGATCAAAACAAAGTATTAGAATAATTTACAAGGATCTTAAAATGGCTAAAAATTAGACTTTTTAGGCGATTAGTTTTTTTAGGCGAATAGACATTTTGCTTTTAGATATATTTGAGTTCTAAACTACAACAAGCTGCCTTTTTTTTTTCCCATTTAATGCAGACAATAGTAGCTAATAAAAAAAACTTATCTGTAAAGACTTGTGGATGAACAGAAAAATGCTATAGTTTCATTTGGCAAATTTTAGCAATTTTAGAATTTTTTTCCAAAGTTGAGGAGATCATAATTTTTCTCTAATTTAAGACAAGTTAATAAAAACCACTTTTTCAAAGAGAGAACTATCCAGAAAATAGTTCTTGAAAAAATGAGACACTTGTTAAATATGAGAAAAAATTTATACAGGTCTGAAGTAGTCTGTTTTGACCATTTGTAAATGAAAGAGGGGGGGGGGATGTGAGATTAAAAGGACCCTGTGTCATGTTTCTAAGGCTATTATTTCTGAACCGTTGTACTTGGAAGTCTGAAATTTCAAATTTAATCTATATACATAAATCATAACATAACAATATGTAAAAATCAGGAAAATCAGAGAGAAAAATCAGAGACCAACAAAGTTTGAAATATAATGATTTGCCCCATATATTTAAAGTTTAAGAACTTTAGGACAAGTCTAATAGAACTACATTGATGTTGCAAAAAATCAATTTTGTTTATCACCCAAAATTTTTTGGTGATAAACAAAAAAAGTTTTAAATTTTATTATAAAAAATTTTTTTTTGTCCTTTTTTGCAATAAAATTTATAAAGTATTTTTAATAAATTGTAATCTTTTCATTTGCCTATATCAAAAACTAAAAATCTCCAGTCGTTTCTTTACTGAATTTATCACACAATTAATCATTGCCTAATTTTATTTCACTGCCTAATTTACTGCCTAAAAAATTTTATATTGTATAAATATACACAAGTGTTTTTTTGCAGATAAGTAAAAAAGTATTGATTAAAATGAAAAAAGTTGAAAGAAAAAATTGTTGTTATACCAATCCAAGGATAACTTGTCTCCTTGAAATACATGTGGTATTTCAAGAAGACATGTTATTCAATGGTCTACCAGATAGAAAACTTCCTACTATTAGAAACAGTTTATGGTTCTAATACTTAAAATATATTAAATTTGAAAACTTGACTGTGCAAGTTTTTTTTTTTTTAATTTTAATTTATGTAACTCAAAATTTAATTAAACTCTTAATATAATTACTTTAGGTATGCCAAGAACTACTTATATCTGAAATCAGACAAAAATATGATTTTATTAGAAATGAAATCTTATATAAATTGAATAGAAAAAAATTAGTGTTGCACATTGGCACTAAACTTTTGAAGTAAATTTGTGAGCAGAAGAACATATCTGTTATAAATGATAGACTAGCATTAAGTTAATTAGACATTTTGTTAGGTGTTCACATAATTGAAAATTCAAAGTGAAATTCATGGCTGATTCAATATATATTTTAACAATTCAGGTGATCCAAGTTACATACAATATATAAACAGTAGACAAGGAGGAAATGTTTACCGATGCCAGCTTTTTCATAACTTTTGTGTATCAAGTGCAATAACATCTGATCACTCATGAAGTATAGCTTCTTCAATAACATCTGATCAGGAGAAGCTTCTTCTGTGAAAGTATTTTTTTTACAGATTAAAAAAAAAAGATAAAGAATCATCTCGCCTGTAGAGAAACATTTTATCAGTTTAAAACAGAAAGCTTTATCTATTGACACCTTTTTTATAGTTTGTTATGGAGTTTGTCAGATCTCCTACGACTTCTAGGGACGTATTGCCCTTGAAAACATTCAAATGTAAAGCAAGTTTAGTTTCTTTGGCTGGTTTACTTAGGGGAACGGCTTTAACAGGAGTGTAATAACTAAGACATCTTTCATCAAGCTCAATGCTTATAATGATAATTTCTTCATTTATAGTCCTTATGTAAAATATTTTTCTCAGAGGGTCCAACACTAAAGTTGAGCCCTTTCTTTCATTAATAAAGAAACCTCTTATAGGTTCTTATATAATTATGCTTTTTGTCAGACATTCTTACCATATCCATTATTGTTTCCATTGCTTTTCTTGTCTTCTTACTTTTCTTCTGCTAAATAGGATATATTAGGAAATACTTTCTGTCAATGAAGTCTAGAAGAAAAGATGAAAAGACAACTAAGATTGCTGCTAGTAAAATATACTCTTGTGGGTTTTTTTTTTTTTTTTTTAATACTTTTATATATATTTCAGGTATTCTTATTTTGCAAAATTGATTCCATTGCTACTTAGTGGACTTTCCGATGAAATGTCTGAGATTAGATTATTAAGTTTTGAAAATTTTGAAAAGGTAGTTAATCAGTTATTTTTATTTTTTCATTTGAATTTTACATAGTTATTTTATATTGTTGCAACTATTTTGTTGATGCATAAATATTTTTAAAGGCTGGTATGCTATATGAAGAAGAAAATGAAGCAGATTTAAAAGATAAAAGAGAGTATCATGTAACTAAACCGTTTGAATCATTTATAAGTAAGTGCTTTTATTTTGTGCTTTATTTGCATATTATAAAATAACAATGAAATTAAAAGATAGAAATTATTACAGCTCATAACAGACCTAGATTGGGTTGTAGAGTGCTTGTTCAGCAAAACTTCTCAAAGATTCTTCCTGCTCTAATTCATGACATCACTGATTGGTGTGTAGACACTAGAATCAAGGTAATCTTTTTTTGTGTTGTTAAATATAAATTTTAAAAATACTTTATTATCTCAAATAAAAAGATTATTGAATATTATTTACATAAAGTCAGTGTTCAAAGTGGGAAAAAAAAGTAATGGTATGTTTTTGGAAAAAAAAGTAATGGTATGTTTTTGGAAAAAAAAGTAATGGTATGTTTTTGGAAAAAAAAGTAATGGTATGTTTTTGGAAAAAAAAGTAATGGTATGTTTTTCAATGATTTCAAAATACCATCCTGTTTAATCATTCTTATATTTGGAGAGATATAAAAAGGTGGCAGAGTTGTTTATAATTTATAAAATTGTGGCAATAAGGCATCCTAGCTTATTCTGTCTTACTTTGAGTACTGCATTTAGTTATATATAATAATAACATATATAATATTAGGTTATATATTAATTACTATTCAAAGATTGATTTTTTTTATTAAAAAATTGAAGATTATATAACAATTATTTAAAAACTGATTTTTAAGTCATTTAACTGAATTAAAAAAAAAGTATTGCATTTAAGGCTGCCAATCTTTTGTACCATCTGGTGCTGTACTGTGAGGACCACATAACAATGAGCATGGAGTTATTATCAAATGGCCTTTACTCAGCCTCTCAAGATGATGAAAAACAAGTCGTTTATCAAGTATTGAAATAAAATTTACTATTTTTTATGGCTATTATAATATTTATATATTATTTAAGATTCCAAATCTTTTGGAGTTCTATTTTTTTACTTTTTACTCTAATAACATTAAATGCAATTAAAATGATAATTTAATACTTATGTAATTTTTAAAATTAGAAACACTGCAAAACAGTTGTATTGTTAAAGGTGGTAATTTTGATAATAAGTAATTAGTTGTAAATAATATATTAATAAATAATAGTAGTAATAACTGATACACAAAATATTATCTTTTTTAACTTTCTACATTTATTTTGTTGGTATGCTGGATACAAAGTGTTATTTTTTTACTTTAAAACTTATAAAGATTTAGGTGTCAGCTGTGTGCAGCTGAGTGCCTGATGAGATGTGCTGCCACGCTGTTGCATTATTGCCATATGCGCCTACTGTTAGTACTGATAGTGAAGAAATGGCAGGTTCTTAACTAAACAGCTCTTATTCAGAACATTAGCCTTTTGTACTTGTCCAGAGTTAAATGGATAATTCTTTTCTGGTGACAGATAAGCCCTGCATTATTAAATAGCCACTCTAAAAATACTGTAGACAGAGTTGTTCCTAAATATTTTTGGGCTAGTTTTTTCTCATTTAGAAATTTTTTTTTCAGTATTCAAAGCTGTTGTTTTTGTGAGTAAAAGAGAATTAAATTCTCTGATAGTTCAACTGTCATTGTACGATGTTAAGTGTGAATTTAATTGTAAAAGATATTTAGTTCATTGGCTTACAGCATTTAAAGTGCAATAAAAATATAGCAGCCCTTCTGATACTTTTTACAGATTTTGCATTTTCACAGATTTTCAGCAACTGTAATTTTAAGACCTTTATTAGTGTCCACTGCATTCAACTTGCTGATAATAAAGTAACAACTTTAGCCCTTGTTTTGCTCCTAAAAATCTTGTTTTTAAATCTGGGATCTAGGATTGTATTAAAGGCGTATATGGGTTCTTTCTGTCAGTCTCAACAATATTTATGTTTTGAACAATAAGATTCTTTGAAATTTTGATAATCCTTTCATAATCAATGATGTGACCGATTGACATGTTAACTGCATTTATTTTTGGGATAACTTTTGATGTAATTGCAGTACACATGATGTCAAAAACTTTTAGAGCAGCAACGAGAGCAACCAAACTGTCCCATTTTTTCATTCATTGTATACATATACAATGTAAAACAACAACAAAACTAAAAAAAACAAACAAGTTATAACAAAGATTTTATAAAAAATCATTTATTTATTTTCTTACAATTCTTGAGAATTGGCAGGATCAAATTTCTTGATTCTTTCTGCGATTCTTACAATTTCTTGAGAATTGGCAGGATCAAATTTGGGATCAGCTCACCTCTATTATATATAAATTCACTCTTTAATGGCTTTATTTATACACCCTAAACAGAAAGTTTGCATTTGCTATTTAAATGTATATAGTTCTTTTTAAAAATGATAACTGTAAATTTATGAGATATCCACACTTTAATGTTTATTTATGCTATGAGCATAATTTACCAAAAAGGTACTAAAGATATCATACAAGACGTGGAGAGATAATAAAGTTTATCTAGCTATTAGATAATACAGCCTGCTGGTGTTTGGATATTCTGATTGCAGCCTTATTTTTAATTTGTTTGATATAGTATCTGTATCTGCAATCTGATTCAATGTTCAGCAATTTTAAATTGATGAGAACTTGTCAAAAATAAACCTTAAGTTGTTTACCTACAAGTAATTTATCATTCAAAAAATGATAAATTCGAAAATAAGTTATCATTTAGAAAATAAATTTGTTTTATACTTATATATATTAGCTGGCACCTCCTTAATGTGTTCTATATAGTAAAGTAACACTGGAATTAAATTTTTTTAAATATAAAAAGTATTTTGAGGAGTCGCTACAGACCCTTAACCATTAAATAGCTCCCTAATATTATAGATAAAAAAAATTATGTTGTGTTGGGTCTCAAATGAAGAGAAATTTTAAAAAAAGCTTTGAATACGTATGTATATATAAATTATATTATTATACATTCAATAGTACTCTTGTATTGATTCTTGATACTTTTAGCAGTACAGAGAACAATACTGACTAATATGTACTAAATATTTGAAAAAATTTTTTATATAATTAAAAATGCATTTAATATCGTCTTATCTATATAAACTTTTTTATTATTTTTATTTAAGAAAACACATTGTAAACATAGTTGGACCTATATAAGGAGTATATAAACATAGTTTATATACTTCTATGTTTACATTGTAAACATAGAAGTATATAAATATATAAGTTTTATACTTATATATTTATATACTTATATATAATATATATAAGTATAAAACAAATTTACTTGCAGCCATCCTTCAACCATTATTGCACCGTCATAATGTTGCTTCTCTTTTCTATATAAATGCCATAATATGCACTGTTCTAAAGAGCTAGCGACTCTTGTGCCACTTACTAAATGTCATTCTCAATTTACTCATCATTCAATTAAGTCTTTTTTTTTTAACACTCTTTAGAAGGAGAAAAAAACAATAAGTAGATAAATAAATTGATGATTCTGAAAGTGATTAAAAATAATCTAAAAGTGACATTAATTCTTCAATTCTTTATTTAATTTTTCAATGAAACTAGTTTTGTGGTAATTTAGTAAATTGTTATATCTTACAAAAAGTCCACAAATGCAAAAATGACTTAAAATGTTACTGTGCAAAGTGTTAACAATGAAAATTTATGTACAAAACAAGATAAACTGTGATATATTATATCACACTTTATCAGCTTGCGGCAGTGAAAGAGTTAAAAAACCTTAAAAGTCTGTCAAGTACAAATAATGAGTGGTAAAATATTGGAAATAAAAACTTTACATTTTTCTTTTACCTGAAATAAGGAATTCAAAAAAAGGTTTAAAAAAAAAAGTTTTTTTTGTCTACTTTCAGAAATTGCTTTTTCAAATGATGATTACTTTCTTCAGTAACTTGCAAATGCTGTCTTACTATGAAAGATAGAAATTTTTCTTTTTTCTTAGATTTTATCTGGTCTTTCAAATCTTTTAACACTATGAGAACTTCAGCAGTAGAAATATTATCTTTCTCAATTTTTTTTTACCGTGTTATAAAAAACATTGACTTGACTGTGAACAAAAAACAGTACTAATTCACCCATCTTATTATTGAAAAAGTCAAATAAAAGTTTTGGACAATTTTCTTAAGCATTGGAAGTAAGGCCAACCAACGAACAATAGAGAATCCTAGCAATTTTTTGTATTCTACACTGGCTTACTTGCAGAAATTTTCGACTTAATTTGTGAAATGATAAAAAAACTGTTAAATGATTAAAATTAATTTAAAAAGTAATTACTTCACATCAATTGATAAACAACCAAATGCAGTGTTTATTGTGTTTGATAAAATGTGAGCATTGCAACCGATGCCAATTATTTCACAGTTTAGCAATTAACTTTCTGTGAATATTATTATTACTGTTTTGTTTTATACCTTCAAAATTCATATTGTTATTATCTGCAGAAATAGCCAAAACTTTTGAAGAAATGTTTTTAGTGCTAATGGATTTAAAGATAACTTCTGATAAAAAATGTGATGTTTCTCCATTTACACAGTCCATGTTTATCAGGTGCTTGATAAACATGGTCTGTGTAAATAGAGAAACATCAGATATTTTATCAGCAAGTTCACCTAGGTGAATTCGCATTTCCTCTTTAACACCATAATAACGAGCCATGCTGTATGTTAAAATTTTTTTTTCTTAATTAAAATAGAAAAACGCAGCTTTGTTTAATTACACTTTTCTTTTGTTAAAAATCTACCATGACGTCAAATGCTAAAACTTTTATGAATTAAATGCGCTTCAAAGGAATCGCCAAAGTCTGTAGATTGCGACCTATAATTTAAAGACTCCGAGTTATTGAAAAAAATGGAGAAGGCGAGCTTTGGCTAAAACAACATTAGTTTTTCTCGGTATGCATTCATTATTTTTAATCAAAAAAACTTGGTTCAAATCTTTTTTTTAAACATTATCTTTAATATGAACACAACATGTGTTGGGAGTTTGGGATCCCTTTAAGTAGTCTCTAATAAATTTAATAATTCTGTTTCAGCTTGTGTTTTAGATTCAGATAAAGAAGTTTCTGCTTCATTAGACATAGTTTGTAAATATTATGATATAAACGAATTATGTACACTTAACTTTAAAATAAACTTTCTTATTATTTTTATCTAAACATATCATCGTTACAAAAACAATTTGAGGATCTAAACGTAATATTATCATTATTTAATTTTGATTTTTCCATTACTGGTATAACTGAATCAAGGTTAAAAAGGAACATCCTCAATTCAGTTGAAACTCATTGATAGTTACAACCAGGGTTGAAAAAAAAATTTTTTTGTAAAAAACTGTGGGGTTTTTTTTAAATTACCAAAAAAATCATGGTTTTTTTGGTTAAAACTCTCTTTTTTTTTTAAATAAGCTGTGTTTATTCAACTTTTTCAATTAAAAAAAAGCATTAGGCATTTCACTTGAGTAGATTATATCTTCTACCAGTATTACTGATATAATTTATCAATCAATACACCGTTAAATGTTTTGTATATAAAAACAAGATTTGTTGTTTTTACTGCTCTCATCATATTTTATTTTATTTCAATTCACCTCCCCAAGAGCATGAAGGCCACTGCAGTCAACTCCATAACTCCATAAAATAAACCTTGACAAACAAGTCCGCTGCGTGGAAAAACAAGTTGAGTACAGCAGCCTTGTTTGTCAAGATTCCTTCTTGGTTTAGTAATAATATTTGTTTTTTTAACCGAATAAGGCAGAAAAACAGGCATTTAAAAAAATATTTCTCTTTTATCTTTTTTTTAATTAATTTTTACATTACTTTTATATTTATTTAATAATTTAATTATTTTTAATATTTAATTATAAATTATAAAGCATTAT